CCTAAGACCATCAGAAATATGTGTTTTCCAATGGTCTAAGGTGACCCCTGTGAAAAGGGACGTTCGACCCCAAAAGGGGCTATGACCCACAGGTTGAGAACCACTGAGTTACAGTATCGGAACCCCAAAGGGGGTCACTATGAGTCAGCATTAACTCAATGGCAGTGAGTGTGGTTTTGGTCTTTGACCTAATAACTCTAATTCCCCTCCTCAATCACTGTACTCGTCCCAATTTCTTTTGTTCACCTTAGCACTTGTTTCTTCTGCCTCTGATGCTCTTTCCCTACATCTGCAAAGTTCTGACTCTGAAAGTCTATTCTTCTGACATCCCTTCAGAGATCCCCAAACCAGTGGTTCTCAACCTCCCTATTACCGCAACCCTTTAATATAGTTTCTCATGTTGTGGGCACCCCCCCAACGATAAAATTATTTTTGTTGCTACCTCATAACTGTAATTTTGCTACAGGTTGAGAACCGCTAATCTAAACTGTTGGCACCTGAACTCCTGAAAATTATTCTTTCCGCACTGTGGCTGCTGTTAAGTTCCCAGAGACTCATGGCCAGCTTATGTATAACAGAACGAAACTTAATCTGGACCCGGGACACCTTCATAATCACTGGTACGGCTCCACGTTGTGGCTCTGATGTCAATCTATCGCAATGACTTTCTCTTATTTACAATGACACTGTCTGCTCCCATAAAAAGATGTACAGCCGTGGGAACTCTAGGGAGATCTACGAGGTACTACAATTTGGAATCAATTCCATGGCTGTGGGTTTTCTACTCTGTCAATGATGTTGCCCAATTCTAGAGACGGATCTTTGCTGACCTGTCCAAACAAGCAAATCTAAGTCTTACAACCATCTTCTAAGGCACAATTTTTGCTATGTTCAATATTCATCAAGTCTATGTGAAATGAACTTATTTATTTAGGCTTATCTATGAAGTTCTAAGGGGAACTTGGTCTTATTTATAACTGCAGTCCCTGTGCCTAAAAGAGTACCTGGAAAAGAGTCAATGTTTAAGAGCCCTGTCTAACTTCTTGCTCTATTCCCCTGTGAAGTAAGATTTACAGACCATGTTCAGGGTATTGGTTAAAAAGCTCCTGGGATACACATCCTTCACCCTAGACTTATGACTCTGTCCTAGTTCTGAGGGCAGGCACCAGGCTGCATTTATTAACCTCCCTCTTAGTACCCTGACAAAACTTCCTGTTAGATTGACCTCCCGGAGCATCCTGTGTCAAATTACACTTACTGAGCTCGGTTATAGTATGAGCAAGCAGCTCTGGTAGCACAACTGTTAAGAACTCAATTGCAAACTGAAAGGTCAGCAGTTTGAACCCACCCGACCAGTGGTTCTGCAGGAGAAAAAACGTGGTGATTGGCTCCTTTAAAGATTATAGCCTAGGAAACCCGAAGAACCGTTTGACTCCATTACATTACATCACTACTTGACTCATGACCTTTTGCTTAGCAGCAGAATTCTTAATCACTGCACTACAAGAGCTCCTATATAAGCATTACTGGGTAACAAATACTAAAAGAATGACAAAAGTTGCCAACTTTTATAAGCAAATAAATGATGAGCTTGCACATGAATGTAATGGTAACATCATGTTTGAATGATACAATCAATAATAATGTTTCAGCGACTTGGAATTTGAATGCATATTTACGATAATTTCAAAGATTCTGCTCAAAAACAACACATGGTAGGGACTGAA